GGCCGACGGCGCGGGGCGCGGGGCGCGGGCCAGATCGCACCTCGGGGGAAGCGTAGCGTGCGGTCAGGGCATTGAGCGCCGGCGGCGCGGCGGTCAGGGCGTTGGACCGCCGCTCGGAGAGGTTACGGCTGGTCCCCAGGTCGCCGAGGGCCGCATGCCAGGCGCCATCCGCGCGCCGCGTGACAAACACATTGCCCGGCTTCAAGTCGCAGTGGGCAATGCCCTGCGCGTGCATGGCCTCCAGGCCGCATGCTGACGCCGGGAGGCGGTGAGTGCGGGCACTTGCGCCGGGGGGTGGGGAGCCAAAAAGGGAAAAAAAAAAGAAAAAAGAAGAGTGCCAAGCCCCGGGGGCAGCCGGCCGAGAAGCTCCGGGCCGGCAAGCCGCGCCAGCGTACCCCACTCGTGGATGATGTGCAGAAGCGCCCCCGTGCCGAGGGGGATCTCCGAATGGAGGAGCGTCGACAGGTCCGTCTGATAGCGCTCCATCGCGATGGCCGGCGGGGCATCGCTGTACCCGTACAGCCGCACGACATTCGGCACATCGCGCAGCAGCCACATCAGGGCCACCTCATTCTGGAAGAGGGCCATCTGGGTGGTGCTGCGCGCGGCGCCCTCCTTCAGGCGCTTGATGGCCACGGTCGGCGGGCAGCCCAGGCGGTCGGCGGTCCCGGCGCCGATGGCCCGCGCCGCGTACACCGCCGCCTGGGTCCCGGTGCCGAGGTCGCTGTGGCCGTCCACCGGCATGAAGTCCGTTTCCAGGCTCACCAGGATCGAGCCCGGGAGGGAGAGCTCTGGCTCGACAGGCGGGCGGCGGTCAGGATGGCGCAATGGCGACGGCGTCCAGGGGGGCTTCTGTCGTTCGACGCACCGACAATCGTATTGAGAACCGTGGCATCTTCGGCAAGGGGGGGGGGTGTATCCAGACGGGCGGGCGGGCGGGCGGGCGCACGTGCGATGGTGGTGGCCAGGGGAAGAGGGGGGGGGGGGGGGGGCGTCAGCACGGCCGGCGGGGCTGTATGGGCACAGGCAGGGAGGTGTGCGCAAGGCGAAGAGGCAGTGGCGCACCGGCATCGTCCTCGGCCTGGGGCCGGGGGAGAGGACACGAGGAAGCAGGTGGGCCGCGCGATGCGGGCCAGCGACCGGTCAGTCCAGAGAAGAGGGGAGGACGTCCCACGCCCCGGCGCGTCCCGCGAGCGCATCGTACCTGGCCCTTGACATTGCGTCGCCGCCGGAGGAAGAACACCAGTGCCAAACCCACGCCCAGAAGGACCAGCAGCAGCAGCAGCAGCCCAAGCCCAAGCCCAAGGCCGATGGCTGTGGCCGCGCGGGCGAAAGGAAAAAAGAAGCACGTCGGGGCGAACAGCCGGCTGGTCAGGGCGCGAGCGGGAAGCCAGCCAACGTCACAGGGGGGAACATACCCAGGCGAGTGCCAGGCGAGAGGCCAGACCATTCGAGGCAGTCCGATGCCAGGGGACCGTCACAGGCCGCACACCCCTTCAGGCAGGCCATGCATGCCGGGATGCCCGAGGCCGCGGCCTCCTGGTCGGCGAAGAAGCCCGGCGGGCACTCCAGAACGCACCTGGCCGGGGCTCCGGGCTCCCGGTGCAGCAGGCGCCCGGACACGCACCGGTCGCACCCGGCCACAAGGGTGCACGAGAGGGGGCCATCGGCCGCCGGCAGCCGGCAAGCAGGCGCCCCGGCCGGCAGCTCGGCATCGGCGGCGCCCGTGCAGACCTCGCAGTGCTCCGGGCAGGGCAGGCACACCCGGTCAGGCCCAGGCCCGGCCGGGTCGGCCGGCCGGGTGACCGCCGCAAAGACCGCCGGGCAGCCGGCCTGCAGGCAAACCCGCGACTCGTAGTCCAGCCACCCGGCCGCCGGGCAGGAGGTGCAGCGCTCGGCCGATGCTTCGCATGTCCGGCAGTCGGCATGGCAGGGGCCGCACAGCTGGCCGCCCGGCTGGCGGAACTGCCCAGCCGGGCAGGAGACCTCACACCGACCCTCTGCGGTCAAGAAACGGCCGTCCTCGCAGGCGGTGCACATGGATGCGCATGACGTCCCATCGAAGGGCTCGCACGCGGTGCAGCCGTCCGGACAGGCCCGGCACTGGCGGGCCGGGTGGCACCCGAAGAAGCCTGGCGGGCAGTCGGCCCGGCAGTGGTCCTGATGGAGCAGGGCACCTTCGGGACAGCCGAGACACTGGCTGGCCCCCGGCCCGGCGCACGAGGCGCACGACGCGTGGCACGGCACGCACCGGGGCCCGGACGGGTGGTCGGCCTGGGCGAAGTGCCTCTCCGGGCAGGAGGCCATGCACCGCCCGGTCGAGCTGGCCGGCGTCGACGGGAGCAGCAGCCCCCCGCTGGGGCAGCCAGTGCAGCCGGTGCTCTGGCCATTGGCACATGAGGCGCACTGGGCGTCGCAGCCGGCACAGGCATTCTCCCCGGGCAGGCGGAAGGCACCGGCCGGGCAGGCGGCCACACACTGGCCGGCCCACATCAATGGCGTGCCCGCCGTGCAGGAAAGGCACTGGTCCGGCCCCGGGCCGAAGCACGTCCCGCACGAGCCATGGCACACGGAGCAGGCCCCGCCGAAGGGGAAGGTCAATGCGGGGCAGGTGTGCACGCAGACGTCCGTCGCGCTGGCCTGCATGTCCAGCAGCCAGCCACGCGCGCACTGGTCGCACGGGCCGCCACCGGAGCACTGGGCGCAGTTGGCCGCGCACGCCCGGCACCCGGTGTCCGTGGTGGCGTGGCCCACCGGGCAGGCGGGCACGCACCGGCGCCCGGTGGTGGCGTCCTCCAGCGCCGGCAGCGAGCGCAGGTCCGCCCCGCAGACCGTGCACTCGGACGACCGGGTGCCGGCACAGGCATCGCACGAGGCATGGCAGGGGAGGCACCGCTGGGCCAGGGCCACATGGCGATCGGCGCATGTCTGCACGCACGCGCCTCCCTGGAGGACATCCTCCGGCCCGGCGCAACTCCAGCAGTCCCGGTCGGTGGGGCCATTGCACTCGGCGCAGGCCGCATGACAGGGAAGGCACGCGAGGCTGACCGGGTCGCGGTACTCCCCGGGCGCGCAGCCCGACCGGCAAGTGGTCCCGGCCCCGTCGGTGACGAGGTCCAGCCCCGGGGCGCACGCGGTGCAGTGCCCGGCCGACTGGTCACATTCGGCACACTCGACATCGCACATCTGGCACTCGCCCCCGCCGGCGCCAGTCCCATCGACGGTGCCGGCGTCGGCAAACCACCCGGGCGGACACGCGTCCATGCACTCACCGCCGGGGGTCAGCCAGAGACCCTGGCGGCAGCCCAGGCACCGGGTGGCCGTGCACACGGCACAGCCAGCCCGGCAGCCGACACAGGCCCCGGGCCCGGTGCCGCCGCTGGCCCACCGGTGCCCGGTGGCGCACACCGTGCAATTGTCCGCGCCGCCGGTGCAAAGGGCGCACGAGTCGCCGCACCGGGCACAGCGCCGGGGCTCGACCGGGCGGAAGTCCCCAGCCGCGCAGACACTGCCACAAAGGCCCGGCTGGCTGGGGTCCGCCTCCAGGAACACCAGCCCCGGCCGGCAGGCGAGGCAGGCGCCGGCGGCATCGCAAAGCTCGCACGACGGGTCACAGGCCAGGCAGACACCGTCCGAGCCGCGGAAGAAGCCATCCTTGCATTGCAGGCAGGTGCTGGCGTCCTGGCAATGCGCGCAGCCATTCGCGCAGGGCTGGCACACGCCGGCCCGGTCCCAGAAGCCCCTCTCGCACTCCGCCAGGCAGGCCCCATAAAACAGGACCATCCCCCCGGGGCAGGATTCACAGGCGTTCATGCCCGGGCCGAGGCACGTCTGGCAGGATGGATGGCAGCTGACGCACGTGCCGGATGGCAGCGGCAGGCCCGTCATCTCGTCGGTCAAATAGGTGACCAGCTCCAGGTAGTGGTCGGATTGGCAGACAGTGCACAGGGCGAAGCCGTGGTCTGGGGAAAAGGCACAGTCAAGACAGGGCCCCGAGCAGGGCCGACACACGCCCGGCTTGGTGGTGGCCACGCGCCCGTATGGGCAACGGGACAGGCACTCTTGCGGCGCCTCGGGCGTGGCCAGCCAACATTCCGTGCACTGGCCGGGGCTGGGCCCGGAGCACCGGGCGCAGAGGGGATGGCAAGCGCTGCACGTGGGCCCGAAGGAGCCCGGCCGGCAGTCATACGTCTCCACATGCAGCAGGTAGAAGGACGACAGGCTCGGGGCCACCGACAGGAGGAAGGTGCTGACTTCGGTGGTGGGCGCCTCGCCGGGCCCGGGCCCGGGCCCCGTGGCCGCCAGGGGAACAATGGCCGCCGAGATGCTGGGCCTGCCGAGGTTTGCGCCCACGGGGGAGGCCATCAGCTGGGCCTTTCCCAAGCGGCATGGCTGGCCCGCATCGGCCGTGGGGCATTCCAGCACGGCCACGCCGATCTGCTGCTCGCTGATCATCAGCAGGGCCGCGGGGAAGCGCCCGGAGCGCAGGCGCAGCGGCAAAAACATCGGCGAGGAAGGCCCCGAGCCGGCCAGGATGCCGAGCTCATAGTGCGCGAAGGATTGGTCATGCAGGCGGCCGTGCGTGGCGGCGCCCTGCGGCGAGTGCATGGCCAGCCACTGGCCGGTGCTCTCGTGGCGCCCGCAAATGAATGTCTCGATCGGGGCCCCGGCCCGGCCGGTCTCCAGCGTGACGACGATGCCCCCGGCCGACGGCACAGCCGGCCCGGCCGCCGGCATGGTGGCCGCCACGCGGCTGTCCCCGGACAGGACCAAGTCCATGGACAGGAGGGCCGGCGTGGTGCCGCGGTCCAGCACGAGCAGCCAGTCGTCGGCCATCGGGGCCACCGGCGCCTGGGCAAAGGGCGGCGCCCCGGCGATGCCCATGGCCATCTGGGCCCACGCCACCTGGACCATGGACACCACCGGCCCCGCGCCCGGGGCCCCCGGCGGTGGGAGGGACACCCGGAGCAAGTGAAACCCACCGGCACCGAAGAGCATGACATGGCGCCGGTCCACCGGGCGCAGGGCCGAGCACATGGTACTGGTGTCCGTCCGATGGATGGCCGCCCTGCAGGCGGGGGCCCCATCCATGGGCGGGGGATTTTGGCTCGCATCGCACCGGTACACCAGGTGGCTCATTTTGTCATTGCAGGCGAAGGCCACGAAGTGCGGCACCAGGAGGCCGCCCAGGGCCGGATCCGGCAGCAGGAACGGCCCCAGCTCGATGAGGAGCTTGAAGGGCAGCATGGCCCAGGGGGGCCCGGCCAGCTGGAGGGACGTTTCCAGCGGCGGCTCCACCAGCGCATCCACCTGGGCGGCTGCGACCCACCAGGCCTTACTGTCATCCGACATGAACAGGTAGTTCCGCCGGGCGGTGGCCATGCCGGCGGCCGTCGGCAGGTGGGCCTGCCCATTGGCATCGACCTCCAGAAAGGTGGAGGCCAGGAATGCGAACGAGGGACCGAGTCCGGAGAGCGACACGGTGGTGATGTGGGCATGCCCGGGCGAGTGCTCGTGGCACATTTTCTGGCCGTTCTCCAGCGGCTGGGCGCATGAGCCGACGCAAAAGCCGCCCGCCGTGCCGGGGAGCAGGCGGTATCCGTCATTGCAAACAAGGCAGTGGCTTTCGGTGCACACTTGGCAATTCTCCATGCACGGGACACAGGCGCGGACTATCGCCGTGTGTGTGGGGGGGGGGGATGTGTAGGTGTGAGCGGAGTTGGACAGGCACCCTTGTGTGGGTGGATGGCCGGGGGGAGGGCGAGAAGGAAAGGGCGAAAGGGGGAGAGAGAGCCTGGGGGTATGAGATCGCGTGGCCAGGTGCGTGCGGCCGCGGGTGCGCGGGTGCGACACCCGAGGCCCTCGACCGGGCGAGGAATGCCCGAGAGCACCCCAGCAAGTGGCCAGCCAGGGGCCCGCTCCCACCGGCCGGAGGATGGCACGCCCCAGGGGGAGGGGGGGGGGAGGAATGCCACGCATGACGGCCCCCATACCCAAGCAAAGGCCCGGCGCATGAAGACCCGCACGTACGCTTGCCTGCCGGGGCCGCGGCCAGGCGGAACCCCGGCGCACAACCCCCACAAAGGTGCCCCGGCTGCAAAAGCGGCGACACATACCGCGAGGCAAGGCACTCCCACCCGTCGTCCGAAATGTCGGGGTGGCATCGAATGGTGGGGTCCCGGCCGCATTCGAACTCCTCGGCCGTCAGCATCAAGTGCTGGCTGGTGGCCAGCACCCAGCGGAGGAGCTGGCGATGATAGAACGGCCGCAGGGTGTCCCAGCTGCCGGAAGTCACCGGCAGCCCCAGCGGCGTCCAGGTCAGCGCATGGTCCGGGCCGATGGCCACTTGCCAGAAGTCCGAGCCGCGCTGATAGAGAAACCACCCGACCGCGTGGCTGTTGGCGTACGAGGGGGCCGTGACCAGGCGCCCGCCGGCCGGGACGCCACTGGGCAGGGTGAAAACCCCGGCCACCTGCGCGTCGCCCAGGTTGCTTCCATCATTCAGGCCGACGCCCAGCAACAGAACCAGGCTCGAGTCCTCCAGCAGGACCAGGAGATCCTCGCGGTGGCCACCGGCCGCCGGCGGGCCGCCGGCAACCGGGGCCGACGTCACCAAGCGCGTGGCGGCCATGCCGCGCACAAGGCAGAGGGACTCTCGCAGCAGAGGAGCAAAGTCGATCTGGCCGTCGACCAGACGGAGCGTGTCCACTTTGTTGCTCGACCAGTGGATGTACCCCTGGCGCTGGACGCCGGCCTGGGCACTGACAATCGAGCCGGCCGCCGCCGCCGGAGGTGGCTGGTACTCCCAGGTGCCCGACTGGGTGACCAACGAGTAGGCATTTTGCCCATGTCGAACCAGGGCAAAGAGCCCCTCGGGATCGGTGGCCGTGGCCAGCAGGACCTCGGTCACCGGCTGGTCCAGGGAAAACACATGCTCAGCCCACATGAGCCCCCCCTCGGTGACCACCAGCGGATAGGCGAGGGATTGCCCGGGCAACTGGGGCAGCCGCCGCGAGTGGGGATGGCCCCGACTCATCCGACCCCCGTGTGCCTTGGGGAGACTCGACGCCATGCAATGCCCGTACCGCACCTCGGGGAAGTGCTCTTGAACGGTCTGCCCGAGGAGGAACGAAAGGCTTTCCTCAAGCACCGATCCGTCGAAGGAGTTGGCCCCGGAGAAGGCGCCAAACTCCTCGAGAGCCATGCTCGCCAGGGGGATGGGGTTGCGCAGGAGCGCGCGACTTTCGCTGGCCAGGGTGGACTCCAGCTGCAGTACTCCCGGCATGGCGGCCAGCATCTGATCGGCACAGGTGGCCAACGACCGCGGCGCGGCCGGCAGGAACAGCGCCGCCAGCAGTGCCAGGAACTGGAGCAAGTAGCCGGGGGGCAGGGCCGCGCCAGGCGGTCGAGCCGCGCGCCGGCGCCGCTGGGGAGGATGCGACATCGCCAGTGGCCGGAAGGGGGGGGGGGGGGGGGGGGGGGGGGGGAGGCGGGAAAGAGCCGAGAGGAAAGGGAGGATAGAGGTGGAGGGGAAGGAGGAGAAGGAGCAGCAGTGATACGGGGCAGGGGAGGGAGGTGTATCGGGCCAGGATGTGCCAGGCCACCGGGGAGCCCGTGGGCTTTTGGGGTGAGGCGCCCGGAGGGGGGAGGGGCCACCGGCACGGGGACCAGGCGAGGGGCGGGGGAAAACAACGCGCGCTCCCGAGGGGCAATCTCCAGATCGCCCGGGCCGCCGTTCGCGAGCGCACTCGCCTGCTTTTGACCATCGGCCGGCCGGGGGGGCGGGGATGGAGCTTGTGAAAAGGGGAGCAGCACGGCGCTCCGACCGAAGGGCATGCGCATACACAAGAGCCAGTCTGGGCCGGGAGACGGGCACGCGCCTTGGGCCGGGCTCCCGATCGGGGGCGGGCGGAGAACCGGCCCGAGCCCCTGGGGGTCGAGCCCCAGTTGTCCGACGACCCCGGCGACTGTGGGCATGAGAGGACAGGGGCGGGAGCTGCTCCCGGCCGTGGCGGTTCCCTCCCCCGCCCTCGCGACCGAGGCCGGCCAACAAGGCGCGAAGATGCCAACGGACATGCGGCCTCAGCACGAGGGGGCCCTGCGCGTAGGAGCAAACACGAGCCTGCCCGCGCTGATCGATGCCCAGGGGGGGGGGGGGGAGTTGTCGCGCGACCGCCTTGGCGGTATGGGAACCGTGCGGGGTCCATCGCCCCGGGGCCCGCCGCGATCCCCGGCGGCGTCGCTCACCGGGGATGCCCTCGCGCCGGTGGACCCCCCAACGCCGAGGGGCCGGCCGGCCGCGCCGCCCCCTCCCCCGGCCGTCGTTTTAGTGGGCCCCACACATATGCCCCTCGGGCCTCGCACGCCCCTGGCTCCGGTCGGAGGGAGGGATCCGGCGCGAACCACCGGCCATCAACTGGCCGGGGCACACTCCCCCAGGAGGGGGGGGGAGCCCTCGCAGAACGGGCCTGCCCCTCCCCCCCTCCCGGGCGAAAGGCGAGAGGGGCGTAGCCGGGGCGGGCGCCGTCACCGCACGCCCCAAAACGCGGGCTGCTTCATGCGGCGGCACACATCGTAGTTGCGCGCGCGCGCGCGCGAAATATACCACCCGCTTGCCCCGGCGTGAAAATCCCCCCGAAGCGCGCTGGCCGCCCCCTTCCTGCGGGAACAGCCCCGGGGCGTGCCCGGCGCCAGAGGAGGACGTCCGTGGGCCTTTCTCGGCGGGCGGGGGGAGGGTGCGGGATGCGAGGGGTGCCCATGCACAGGGCGTTTAAGTGGCGGCCATTTAATAAACTCAATTTAGAGTCATGGCGGCGTGATTCCCATGTGATGCCCGGGCCGGGTCCCGGGGAACGGGGGAGATGTTGGCCTTTTCACGCCGTCGCGCAAGTGCGCCCACGAGGGGCGTTCCCGCGCTCCACTCTGATGAGCCAGCGGACAACTCCGCGGCCTGACATCGAGCGGGGGTCTGGCCTTTTTCTTTTCCCCAAGAACCTGGCTCCCTGGCCGCCGGCTGTCTCCGGGCCTGGCCCACGCTGGCGCGCCTGCGCCTGCACTCGCGCGGCCCCCTTCCCTGGCCCCTTTTTTACCCTTCCTTTTTTTTCCTCGGCAGGGGGAACCCCTGAAGTGGGTAGTGAAAAGCATTGGGGGGGGGGGGGGGGAATCGCAACCGAACATGGGGTCGGGATTTTTCGCTGGCCGCGATGGTCTAGAAGTGCGCCACCACGCCCAAGCAAGGGCTGCGGGTGGAATTCCGTGTCCTTGCCTTGCCCGGGAGGCCGTAACCCCCCCTCCCCCATCCCGGCCCGGGCGATGCACGAAGCTCGCGTGTCATTCTCCGCCGTGCACAGACATGCCCGTCCGGGAGGAATCAAGCAATCTGAGCAGAGACCGAGCGCATGCCAGTGCTGCATGGCAGCCATCCCGCTGGCTCCCCCCCCCCCGCCCCCCCGTCCCCCGGCTCACCCCGCTCACAAGTCGGGCCGCTGGTCGAAGTGGCGACCAGTGACCGCGAGTGCCGGCACTCATGACGATCCCTCGCCAGACGGGTTGCCACCAGACCCGTCACCTCTTTCTCCCCTCCCTCCCCCCTATCCTCCCTCCTGCAATTGCAGCGCCTCTCTGGCACACACGCACACACGC